GCATGACTGGAGCAGTGAACTGAGAGAGAAACATTTAAGTGAAGATACAGAAAGTTCTGTTTCACAGCTTTGCCTACTACATTTTTGTTCCATTTTCTCCCTACAGTCCTTTCTGCTAATAGAACAGATTGATTTTCCAGCACAGTAGGAGAACACAGAGCTGATGAAAGCAAAGTCCGTAGTCAGATTTGATCTCAGGTCAACTTGTCAGCAGCAGTATATTCTCAGCCCGAGGGACTTAAATGCAACATCATTTCTTCATAAGGAATTAACCAGAGATATACATTGTAGTGCAGAATTATGTCAATTATAGCATTCAGTGGAGGTGAAAGGCTATTGTGTTTTTCCCCCAAAAAATGTTTACTTTCCATTAGGTAAATATTGATTACATTTTTGTCACCTTTTCCCATCCTGTATTTCTGCTCTATCTATTTTTAGAGGACTTTACAAGTTTTGGTCTGAGCCTCTAAGACAAGTGCTACTTTTGCTGTTTTGACCTGCTGTACTGTTACACTGACATATACAGTATCATGTGCTGGGTTGTCCCAGATTCTCCTCAGAGGTCAGAATCAAGACCATCATCCTTAGTGTGTTTGTGTGTCCTCAGCTGGTGTGGTTGCCCTCTCACACCAGAATGTGGCTTCTGTTACCATGTTATCAACTTTGCCACTGTTCTTGTGTCACGCAACACATTCCAGTGAGGCACACTATATCACAGCCAGCCCGGATCTCTGACACTCAGAGCCTGACTAGTTGCCATGAACGTGAGAGGAGTTTACCTAAATCCCACTCTGTACTCAGTGTTGTTTCTGAAGCAGCAGAAATGGCATTCAGTATATTCCACACAGAAAATGATGCACATGTACAGTTTGATGTATTTATTATTAGTATCAAAACCATGTGGTGGAATATGGCATGCATCCTGATTTGGTGATAACTTGGTACCCTCTTTCTCCCTTACAAACACACAGAAATTCATAGCTCAACCCCCACAGCCTTAGCTTTACAGTCCTGTTCATATGACGCCTGTTGCATAATTTACCTTGGCATTTTGATAGTTTTTTCCCCTCAACTTATTTAAAATCTAAAATGTCATGTTCTCCTTTTAATAAGCTGAAAAAATATCCACTACATTTGCTGCTGTTAAATGCTCAGTTTATATTAAAATACACAAGACGTTGCTATATGTGTTCTTAATATTGATTTAATGGAAAAACAACACTCCATTGACAGCATCCATTGACACACCATAGCTTACAGTTTATCATGTCCAGCTTGATTTTTTTACCTGAAGACATGTATTTTGAAGGAAATATGCCAGAAATATGACTTTTGTCATTACATCCCAAGACAACACTTTGCACAAAAACACCTTAACCTTTTTTGGCACAGCACATGCATGTTTGTGCAGTGTTTGAATATGGAAGCTCATACACATACACAGTAAAATGTCAGTTCCAACAGTACCTATCTATTAGTCATTAGCTTGCATGAACTTTGCAAATTAAAAAAAGAACTTAATATTAGTAATTAAACCAGGGTTTCTTGCAAAGTCCAGCTTCTTCAAAATAAAGGCAAATGAAAAAGTACAAATGTATTCATTTCACATTTTTATTGTTCATCAGAGTGAAACGGCATCACTGATACAAAAAACATCCCCTTTGTATGGGTAAAATTACAAATGTTAATGTAACAAAGTTATATGCAGCAAACAGAGACACTGAACAACAGAAACACTGAGGCACTGCTTCTCCACGACTGAGGGTCCATAGAAAAATAAAGCAGGTGGTTCTGTACAACTCCTTTTTAAACACCGTCAGCATTAGCTGGGGTATCCTCAAGATGACTTCTCATCTAGGCCAGCACAGTGTACATCAGCACTTTACAGCTTGGCTCAATCATGCAAAAGGAGTGAAAAGATTTGAACTTATCAAAGTGAAAAGAAAAATTTATGCAGACTGAATACCTGAGATACTAGAGGGGCTAGAGGTGTAGTGTTGGGAGCATTTGATTAAAAACTTCCTGCTTAGGAAAAAATGAATGTTTTGCATAGATTCCCGGTTAGCAGAATTAAGCCACTGATTACAAGAGGCTAATGAAATTGCAACCAAACATTTGTAAAATGAATTCTGAAACAGTGAGCTAGCTTTTCAAACTAAGCACAATCCATCATTGAGCATTCATGGTGGGCACTGAATGGGCTGTGCAGTCATGAAGCTTGCTGAATTTATCAGGATGTGGAACGTTTTAATTCAAGTAACATCAAAGAAACAAAGCCTCACCAAAACTAGGTTTGAAAGGGTGTTTCTATGACAGCAGCAATACACATTTTAAGTCACAGAAAGTTGGCTACGACTGTTGATTGTCCTAGTAGAGCTTAAGAACTGGCAAAAACTGAAGGTTCTCGTACATTTTGTTATTCTGTGGTAGCAATATACAGTTACATGATAGCATAGGTGTATGGCTACACATTAGCACACATGCTATGCCATTCAATAAATAGCACAGCAATAAGCTATTTAAATGTTCTGTCCAGTAAGAACCTTCTTGTAGTGTTGTTACATAATACTTTGGATGATCTCATCTTGCTTCTAAGTGTTAGAGAACTGTTTAAGAAAAACATATTCAAATTTTCTTATGTAACCGGGGTATAATAATTACACAGAATGTAACCGGGATATAATAATTACACAGAATGTAACCGGGAT